ATTATTATTATTATTATTATTATTATTATTATTATTATTATTATTATATGTATGAAAACCTATCCATTGTTGTTTTATATAGAGGTATTGTTTGTACTTATAATATTTATAATCGCTTATTTAATTTTAAATAGTATATTATGTTCGAGAAAAACAACAGTTATCCATTAATGTTATTAATAACATATTTCACATTTATTTTCGGGATTTAAAATACACGATGCATGTAACGGGTAATAGTGGGTCTAGTATAAAGGGTTCTTAAACATTCTTATTTTTCAAAATCAAATTTTTTAAATATTTTCAATAAACTAGATTATGTCTTTAAATTAAATTCGAATCACAATAGTTTTTGGTTTATAATGATTTTATAGATTAATATGTAACAAAAGGTAATTTTGTCATAAAATTAATTACAATTCTAATTTTTCTACCGGCAATTAAGAAGAAATATAATTAAAATAAAATACAAATTGTATTTAACTCAAATTTCTTGCATTTAAAAAATATTGACTCGATAAAATTATCTGCTTGTTTAACTAATAATTTATTATTCATAGATAATCATTATTATATGGTTTTTTCAATTATAATAAATCACATAGGATTTTAAATAATTTTAAATCATTAAAATAACTAGCTGCTTAAAAAATTGATAATTTCACCGCTAAAATAAATTTTTATAATGTTCCTTTAATTTTTTCATATAGCGCAATACATTTCATTTTAAAAGCCAATACATTTGACATTATTATATCCTCAAAATTGTCAGAATCTAATTTTATATTACTCTTTCGTTATCAAAAAATATTTACCTTTATTATAGAGACGATTTATTTTATTATCATATACAATTATGATTCTAAATTGATTAAATCATAAAAACTTTCCTTTAGATTATTGTTTAAGAAATCGATTTGGAGCTTTATGATACATGACTCACGCATTGTATAAAAATGGCTAACGTTGACAATAAACCATATATTATATTATATGTTAACTATAAAATAATAAAACTTAAACTAATACAGACAGTTAAATTAACTATTTGTTGCTATCTATTGTTTAAAAATTAGACAGTTGTAGTTAAGCTGGTTCTTTCTATGGTTGTAACTGTAACGTAACCAAATGCAAAGAAAATTCCGCTCAGAATCGTTGAGAATGTGATACAATCACTTTAAATTAAATTACTTTTGAAATTGTGATAAATGTGGTGATTTTTTTTTTTTTTTTAATAAATTAAATAATTACATAGTTTAAAATACTACACTACCATAATATTATATCGAATTCATGTTACCTATTAAATATGGTAGTATAAAGACTTAGAATAATATTTATTAAACGGATGTTGTCAACATTATCCATTGTACTCGATTAATTTCAACTGGTAAATAATTATAATTATAAAATGTCTACATATTATTAGTTATCGACTTATAGTTATATCATTTTTCGATAACATATAGTCGATGTGTCAGCAAAAATAACAGATTTTAAGAAAATTTGTTGTTATAATTATACGTTATTTAAAAAAACACAATTTGTGCATATTATATTATTTCATATAGGTAAACGCAATTTAATTTATTGTTATAATAATATCAGAACGTTAATAAAAGATATATAAGGGTATATTTTATCTACAGTGTTATGTTGTATATTATTCAATTATTAATGTTTATTGTAATATTTGCGAAAGATTTATATTATCTTTGATATTTTACCTCAATATATATTTTTACATACAAACACACATATATATGTTACGGGTAGAGTACGAAAATCGGGTAATGTACACATCACCCGCGTAGAGTGAACACTACCAATGCCTATTAAAGATTGATAAAGTAAACATATTTGTAAAACGTTTATTTTATAGCTACATTAACCGGGTAGTTTGTACATTATTTACCTTTAAGTGAAGTTTTTTTCACAAAATAAATTACAACAAAATATAAATTGTAGATAATATTAATAAAATACGATATAATATATATTGTGCATTATGATATATCGTGTAAATTGATATTGTATAATAATTTTAAACTTCAGTACGGTGCTATTGGTTTTCGAGTACACTTGTTCGATTTATTAATGTTTGATTATTTAGGTTTTTTAAAAAAACTTGTCTTCTTAAAAAGAGAAATTTTATGAGGTTTTTAATAAATAAATTAACGAAATGAATGAGAATTTGGTAAATTTAACGAAATAAAAATATTATAACATATTATCTGAAATAAGGAACGTGAAAAAAAAAACAAATAAATCACAATGAACTATTAATAAGTACTAAATAAGTGTCTGCTACAAAAAAAATCTTTGTGTGAAAAAGCTAATGCAGAATTTTTTTTCGGTGGTCAAAGTTTTTTGTAAAAAGGTTTTTGTAAAAGTTATTGTATAACAAATAAATGAACGAAATGTAAATCTGGGGAGTTATTTTGCAACTCAAAATGTCACCCGAATCTGAACTTTTTCAATAAATAACTATATTTAATTTTTACAATTTTTTCATATATAAAATTATAACTTAATATACATAATTTACTTAATAATATTTTTTTTTCAAATTTATATGATTTGGTTTTTTTTTCTACATCATACCTTATCCATATCACACTGGATAATGCACACATTATACTATTAATATAAATAAGGTGTACTTTACCCGTAACATATTTATATATGTATATATATACAGTGGCGTATATAGGAATTAATTTCGGGTGGGGGGGGTTATGAAAAAATATATACTAAATGAAGGTTATAAATTAACTTATTTTTAATAACTATGAAAATTAGAATACATAAATTTAATTACAGGACAAAGTCTAATTTTCGAGGTAGATTTGCAAAATTATTTATCACTTCTTCAGTGTTTATTGAAATACTTCGATGAATTGACATGAGATAATCCTGTTAGTCGATTTTCGCTTGTACTATTTCTCAAGCACGACTTCAATCTTTTCAATATTGAAAACGATCTTTCTGATGACGCTGTTGAGACTGGTAAAGTTACTAATATTGGCATTAAGCACCATATATTTGGAAAAAAATCAACGGATAGTTTATTCAAAGTATCAATAGCAGATTTGGATTTCTGACAAACCACGGAACATTTGCAATTATTCTGAGGACTTTGTTTTGGACAATTTGCATTTTTTTGATGTGCGAGGATGCACAATTACCCCATACCGGGCAAGCGTAGGTAAGAATTGGGCGTATAATTTGCTTAAAAATTAGGAGAGAGCATTTTTTTCCCATACTAGACAGTTTGGTTTTAATTAATACATAGATTAAATAAATGCACACGTGGGTCGTACTAACCATAAATTTCGGGGGGGGGGGGGGGTTGAACCCCCAAACCCCCCCTTTATATACGCCACTGTATATATAAATACAAATTGTGATACTATTGTACAAATGTACGCAGTGAACACTAAGATAAATTAATTTACTATCTAATATTTAATAAATCAATATATTAAACTTCTCAAGTAAAATATGACACTGAAATAAAAATAAAAATAAGTCAAAAACATTATCAACTACTCAGTATTTTTTTAAAAAAAATAACCATAACATTAGTAGTAATTGTTGTGGATTTGCAATACATATACACGTATTTATAAAGGACCAATTTGTTTGAAAAGATGAAATTGAATGAAATGATACGTTTAAACTAAGAAAAATTTAGAATTGTGCTTATTGATAAAAATAAAATTACCCTTTCAAATTGCACACATAGTTAATATTTAAAACAAAGAATTTACACAAATAGAGTAAAACTCTGAATAATAATTACTAGTAAAAATAATGTTCTACATTTTTACATAAAACGTAAACAAGTAAAATGTAAATATAAGAGTTGACGAAGTTCATCCCGCATATTAGAAATGGATCGGTACATAGGTAAGTAATGAGTTAACATAATATGTTGTCCCAATTCGATATTAAGTACATAAAACACAGAAATTAACTACATATAAGTATTATGTTATATTGTGGAACAATTATTTTATTCGTATACAATATTTAAGTTTCTCAGTTTATAAAACACTATATATACTTCACTAATATACATACACCTGCATTTAGTCTAAAACTGAATATAATTATTCTATTTGTAATCCTACAGTTGTAGTACTGTTATATTAAAAAACCTAATAAACGGTGGAATATTTTCAATAGGATCAATGTGATATTGAAAGTTGATTTTAATTTTTTTTTAGATAAATAAATAAAAATATATAAGTTAAGTTATGAAGTAAAAACACGTCATAAATTTAACTAAATGTATAAAAATCGATTTAATAATAATAGGTAAAGTAGAAATCCTGGTTTTTTTTAATACATTATACTTCGCTTAAGTATACATTATGAGAACAAACTACAAGCAATGAACTCCATTGAAACTATATATTGTAAGCTTATATATATATTGAAACTTATATATTGCAAACTATATAAGGACTTAAAAAATATTTTTAGAAATTAATAAAAATCGTTAGATTAATCTTAATAGAATTATATTTATTATCTACGCTTTGAAACACTTATGCACGATTTGCATAAATGCATTTTTTAAATTTAATATGGGCAATTCAACAACAATTTATAGATTATAGATTGTAATTAGCAAATGGCTAGGTTAGCACGTACCACGTTTGATATTACCGTGTAGTCACGTGTCGATCACGCATTCACAGTTTTCACATTTTTTTTTTTTAAAGAAACTTTAACTTTAAATTATTGAAGTAGTTTAGTTTTTATATTACAGTTTGATCATTTCATCTATTTAATTATTTAATATTGATTCACACGCATACACAGTGTATAAAGACACACACACACACATAATAATGCATTCAATTATTCGGTAATTTCAAATTAATTTCATTTGATCATCTGCTGCAGTTATCACATTAAGTTGATTTCAACAGCTCTGATATAACCTTGAATATGTGAAACTTCAGATACAATCATGAATGATTAAAAAAGTTGCAACGATTACCTACTTACATTACATACACTAACTTTACCTTTTTCTTATTAAACTTATAGTGTATAGTACTTATAGGCTAAGTATTTATTTCTACGTATAAATTATTTGTTTATTTATATATTAATTTTATGAACGTATATATTACATAATTAGTAAATATTAAGCATTATAAAATTAAATATTATACATTACACTCTTATAAAACGTAACTCAAACCAGATGTGTCTCGTGCATGTTGTACCTGGGCTACAACAGCAGGGGATGAAAATAGACTACATATCATAAATAATAGTCTACAACCAGTGGCGGATTTGAAGGTTCAAATTAAGTCGGCAAATCCAAAAGAGGGACCTTGTAATAAATGTATCACTAAAATTCTTATCTCCGTTTTAATAAGCTGCTCGCTACACTCGCGTTTCCGCGATACGAAAATGGAAAATAGTACATTAGGCATAACGTGATGCAGTGAAACCGATAATAAATCATTGTTCATATACTCGGAAATTATACAGAATTCTATAAGCAACAATATTTCTAATTACTTATATCTATATTCGATCTTTTCTACATTGTTCGTGAATAAAATGTTCTATTTTTGAAATAATCGGAGTGTTCCTGAGTATTTTCTGTATATTTAAATTATTTTTTTATAAATAAAAATGGTAATTGTAAACGATATTACAGTTTGTACTATATATTTTTTTTTTTTTTGTAAAATTTAAAAAAATTAGGAACTCGCGTCGTATGCTATGATGAGAAATGTATCTACCACAATTGTTTGTTGGCGTTGTATGTTATCGACAATTTTCCATCCCGCAATCTGTAGATTGTAGGTGACGTTTGGGCTACTGGGCATTATTACATTGATGAACTTTTTTTCATGTCTTCAAAAAACTGGTCAAAAAGATTTTTTGATGCATTGAGTGAACGCCACCACTCTTCCATCAACTGTTGTTCCAATAAGTTAGCGGCACTACGTGTGTTTATATCATATTTTACTTTGCCACGTCTCCACGTAGACTCTATAGATTTGATATTGGCCCCTGTTTCTGTATCAATGAAGTGAAGCTGATGGTTTACAGTTTTATGCACATAGCCGTGGTCACTTAAATTATTGTAAGCCCTCCATTCGTCCGAGTTGATGTTTATAATTATACGGTTATACCTGCAATATCAGTTTCCGTACAAAGTAGATATCACACGAAAGCTAGATAACATATAACGTGATCAAAGTACAGGTAGATAGCATACGACGCGAGTTCCAAAAATTAACTATCATTTTTCTGGGCCTCATTAAACAATTTAGGAAGGGGTCCAGTCGGCATTCGCCGACCAAACGACCGTTAAATCCACCACAGTTTAACAACACTAATACCCAAATATGGGAGAGTATTTTAAACGAAGATTTGCAGTAATTTTATATGGAACAGGAAGTATTATTACAAATTGTATTAAATATAGTACAGTTTATAAATATTAGAGTGAGCAGGCAACATCTGAAGAGCTGACAACTGTATTGTCGAAACAATACTTATGAACAAATGGAGCAGGAAAACACCATGTGGCAGACCGAAACAACGGTGGTTAAATGTAATAAAAAGAGACATGCAGGAGCAGAGACCAGATTGGCATGGGGACATGAACCGATATTAAAATCATAGAGCCTTAATGGTCTATAATGCTATAAAAAATTAAGATAAAAAATGTAATTAAATCTAACCGTTTCTGATTTCCTTTTATATGCATCATAATTAAGACATATATAATAAAGCATTGTATCTAACATGTAAAAACCTTCATAGTTTTCAGAAAAAGGTATATTTATACATCAAAGTAAAAATACTACATATCCTGTAAATAATATGATAATATGATATACATAAAAAAAAGTACGTAACACATAATTTATAAGAAATTAAATGTTATTAAAATATATTTTGTACAATCCAAATATTAGTTTTTCCACACGATTATGAGAATAATACTTCGATAAATGTAACGATGAACCGCGAATGCGTGGATATTTTAAAATTGATTTCGTACGAGTGTAAATTTCATACAATATTGACTTGATAAATGCTATAATTCATATTTTTATGCATAGATATGCTAAATTGAGAGGATGAGATCGAAAAAATGTACGAAAAAAATTCTCACTAATACAACATGGTGTTCCACGCAACAGCAACAACACGTATCGACCGCATCACCAGAGGTCAGAACGGATGAGCGAGATCGCTGGCCACGTAGAGCTATCTTCACCGGTGGTTGTGCGTGGTCTCGCTTTTGACGGAAAAGTCCACCGGTAAGCACGTTGGTGAAGGGTCGGCAAAATACCGCTCGATGTCCTTGAACCGTTTGCCTAGCGTCTCGGGCAGGCTGGCGTGCGTATACAGGGCCAGCGCCAGCGAGACGGCTGCGAACATCGCGAAAGCTGCGGCGACGGAGCTGCGACCACGGCCACCCGAGACGTCTGCGTCTAGTGCGACGAGGCACGGGAACACGCGCTGGACGATGAACATCAACGTGTACGCGTAGGCAACGAGCAGCGCACCACCCGTGGCCCTGACCGAGACGGGTAGCAGTTCGCCGACTAGCGTCCACGGGAACACAATCACGCCGGCTGAACCGCTGCAGACGAACGCGGCAATGCCGATCAATGGCAGCAGCGGTACCGGCGGCGGTCCGGCCGTCGGGTAAATCGTTTCGTAACCATCGTAGTCGTCGCGCGGGCCCGCGGCGGCGGGTAGCGGACAGGTGAGCGCCACCAGCGCGGCCGAGCACGCCATGGCCAGCGAGGAAGCGATCATTAGTGGCCGGCGACCGACGTGCGGGGACAGCATGCATGCCACCACACTGGCCAACAGCCGCACCACTCCCAGCGCGATCAGCGCGTCCATCTGGCTAGGTTGGCCGTCGGCTGCGTCCAGGTCGGTCACTCCCATCACCGTCCGAATGACCGGCACCGCGTAAAATATCACCGGGTAACAGCCGCTCAACTGTTGCAACAGAAATACGATAGCCAGCACGCGAACCGGCCTAGTCACCGTCGGTGGCTGCGGTGACCACAACCGTAACTGGCCGCACATGCAAAGTTGACGCCATAGCCGTCGCAACCGTCCGCGACGCCGTTCGTGGCTACGACTCGTTCCGCCGCTAAGCCGCACCGTCGACAGCAGCGGCCGCGATGTGGTCGGCCCGTTGTCGAATTCCGACGGATCCGGTGCAATCGTGATCGTTGTAGCTGGTCTTGTCGGCGGTTTTCTCACGTAATCCAGACCGTTTAACTCATCTACGTACACCTGCAAAATATACGTATCTCGTATCACTACTGTACGACTATGTACGCGTATTATCGCGTAAACCGCAAAATCAAGCATATCTAGGAATAGGGGCTTAAAGGGTTTCTCAGCCTACCAAAATTTCAAGAATTTTTAAATTATATAAGACACATTGGTAGGTGTACTCAGGGGTGGATTGGCAATTATTTTCGGCCCAGGAAATATGAAACAAACCGATCCATGAACCACAAATTAAACTATTTTATCCCCCCCCTCCCAAATAAATGCTGTATTTTGCATTGATTTCAAAATTTGTTTAGTTTCACCCCTAAATTAGTAAAATCGACAATAACTTTATTATAATTATAGCTATAATAGTTTTGGGTAAGTCACATGATTAATCAGTTACAACTTGAACTTGAAGTTTGATCTTAATGCATCTTTAAATATATATTTATTTGTTTAATGATTTTTATTTATTTTACAAAATAAAACTTTTTTTTGGTAATTATATAATAATATAGAGCGGCCCATCGGGAAGATTCCCGATTTCCCGATAGGCCAATCTGCCTCTGGGTGTAACATATGATGTCTTCGCAATCAAATTTAACACAAAACATGGTTTATTTTTTCGGATCATTGGTTTTTTAAAAATTTATTTTACAGATATGAGTTTTGATGATATGTAACTGATCAGCCCCTTTTCACGCCAGTTTACTGCTATTACAATGTATTTGAATTACGCTAAAGTTCTTGGTTAAACCTATTATTTTCTTAGAAATCAATTTTTAAACATATTTTAGAACCCTGTATACATTCTATCATATTTACTTGTTAAGTTTACATTTACGAAAATGTAACTAACTGGCGTTATCCGAGACTATGCGTGTATGCGATCGGTACGATACTCCTAGTAAGTCAACTGTTTTTTAATATTATTTTATTATTCTTATAAAACTTTAAGAACTAGATTTTTACGGAATTTCATTTCATATCATTATTATATTCGCAACTTTTAATACAAACTAATCGGAAATTTGATAACCCCTCTTTAAATATATATAAATTACATCATTAACTGTATTGTGTCTAAATCAAACTTCGAGTTTTCCGTATGATGGTTATCTATTACAGATAACCGTGGTTTATATTAGTATATGTAAAATGTAGTTTTATAATACGCATAAATATTTATTAAAGAAAAAAAAATGTGGAGTTTTTTATTTTGATAGACGTACTATATGTATTTATTCTATAATATATGGAGCTATTTTTATATGTATAAAAATAAATTTGTTTTATTGATCATCCGAAATATTCATAAAAACAAATACTATGATTAAGAAATATTTTTTACATATACTCGTATATAGTTACATAATAGATTTAAGAGGTAATAAAAGTAGATATCACACTACGTGTTTACTTATGGAGTACCTATACGTATTAGATAGTATATTTACAAAAAAACAATAATTTTAAACAATACATACTTGTGTACAATACGAGTAGAAATATTAATTTTCAAAAACACAGTTATAATAATCAGTTTATATGAATACTAATGAGTAATTTCAATATGTTATAAGTTTCAATTCACAACGTATTTTTATGACATTGGGAGTCCACGAATTAAAATAACATCCTAATTGTATAAATACTGGGTAGTTTAATTATAATTAAATGTCGGTTTTTTTTCTTAAAGAACCGTAATTTCAAACGAACGTAATTTTATGAAATAAATAAAAAAATAATTAAAACCGAACTTGATCGTTTATAGGATATATCCTCTTCAGCGAATTTTTAGCTTCGTAGACTCTGCTGGCCCGAAACTTGGCCAGCCAAATCGGACTTTCCGGTAGAAAAATGACCAAAAGAACAGTTATGACGGCAGTGAAGATCAAAAATATCATGTTGACCATCTGCCACTTGAAGAAGGATCCAACGGTAGTGGCGAATAAAACGCCTACCGAGAAAAACACGCTGTTTAAAGACAATAGCACTTGTCTATACGAAGCATGAGCTATTTCTGATACGTAAATGATAACCATGGACGTCATGCCTGAAAATTGATTATATACTATACTATGGTCACATAATAAAATTATAATGACAACTTAGTTAAGCACTAAAGATCGAAATGTAAATTAATTAATTATGCTCCGGTTGTAATTATTATTCTTTGTTGCAGTATATTCGATCCCTGGTAATAAATGTGGAATGATAACATTTTTCAATTAATCTTAATGGTATATATTTTAAGTGCATCACTATAACGGTCGGTCTTAAACAGTAGGATGGATGATTTTTTTCGATTTACCAGTTATTTCTCAAATACCGTCTGTACGGTACGCCAAAATACCATGCCTACACTACAAATACACTACAAATAATACCGAGTTTAACGTACTACCTCCATAAAATAAAATGATACTATTATACCAAGATTTTTTTTAGTACTCCGGTGTGTATAGGTAGCTTGTTGGTTTTCAGTATGACTATATCATACAATTGAGGTTTATCAGTAATCCAATGTATACTGGTACCTATTAAGAATTTATGGGGCTGATGGTATTGACAATAATTTTTTGTATTACGGTTTTGATTTAAGTACCGATTAGTAACGGTATACCCACAAAACTGAAAGAACTCGGTATACCGAAAAATCGAAAACCGAAATTATTCGATATAACGAAAAACCGTAATGATTTGGGGGTACTAAAAAACAAAACGATGTATAAAATCTACCAATACCAATGTATTAAACTTTAATATCGTTTCACTAATAAACAACTAATTTCATAAGTAACTATTAAAACAAGTGGATTTTTTTAAATATCCTTACCTATAGACTATAATCTATAGGTATCATTTTTATTTATTTATTGTCATCGTTTAACCGATAGTGCTGTGGGAACTACTTTCGCAATGTTTTCATATCGCCGAGGTACCCATAAGCTATGGATAACACAACATGGATAAGTATTTTATATCTATATTATTGAAGCTAAAGTATTGCTTTAAAACTTTAAACTTAAAAAGTAATCGATTTGGAGCTAAGTAATCCATCTAAACGGTAGATAGAGGAAAGTACTCAAGTTCAATTGATGTTAAATTAATTATAACCGTAAAATTCCTGTGAACGTTTGAACTTCGAAGTGCATGACCGAAAAAATTTTCACGAACGGATATCGTCGCACAATATTCAAAATGCATTATAATAAACATGTACAATAGTCAAACATAATATGAAAAATATCAACGAGAAAAACAACTACACGCGGCTTCAAGTGCGGTATACCGTAAATACCGTCAGTACTATGGTATACTCTCGAACCCTTGAGTAGCGAAATACCCACGACGATGGTGATTGTATGTTATTAAGTGTAAATGTGTATGGTAAATAAGCAAAAAACAATAAGTTAATTGTTAATGATAAATCGTATTACTATATAATTTATATACATGTATACCTCCGCCGATGCCAGCGAAAACTCTGCATGCATAAATTAAACTCATGTCTTCGGGGCGGACCACCGAAGCAATTGACCACGATATCAAGAGCGGCACGCAAGTCACAAGAAATGCGTTCTTCCGGCCAATCCGGTCCATGATCACGCCAATAGCTATAGTTCCTATTGGTGTGCATACTACCAGAATACTCGCTAGAATATAACATAAGTTTGTTATGTATAAGTTAATAGATCTGAATTGAAACAAGTATTATTATAAAGGTTATTAAAAATGTTAAGTCCTCCCTGCAAGACTTTCAAATTTTTCCCGTATTTCTCCCCATAGTTCCGCCACTGGTAAGCATCATGGCCAGAATACAGAACTGACTAACTACTGAGGTTATATCTCGTTTTACGTAAATATTTTTACCGGATAGTATGCTTTTTCAGGCACACTCGTAAAAAAAAACGTATACGCATAGGCGGACCCAGAGTGATACATTTACAGAGTGTGCCCTGTAATTTTTGGGTTATTTTTTCAAAATATAAAGGGGAAGTTATAAACACATACGTGTAGACCGTATTATGATTTAAATTCTAAAAATAAAGGCTTCATTAATGATGTAAAATAACAATTGGTAAAAAATACACGTAATTATTATTTCAGACTTATTCTAAACACTTGCAATATAACTTACAAAAAACTAAAATTTAATTAATGTGTATGCACATATATTCTCAATTGTAATTATTCAATTTTTTTAATCGCATTATTCACATTAGGGTGTGCCAAGCAGTGGCGTATTTAGGAATTTTGCTAGGGGGGGATGAAATATATAATAATACATCCTAACACCCATAAATTCGTACATAATATACATTTTTAAAATCCCCTAACTTGTTACCTATTGAGGTTAGTGTGGATCAAGGCAAAATAAGAATTAATCTTTATAATTACCTCATCATTTTCCAAACAAATTTTTTTATTTGTACTAAAATAAGAAAATAAAGTTTTTTTTGTTTTTGAGTATTACTCATATTGTCTTAAAACTTCACAGTTACAACTTACAAGACGCAAAAAATAAAGTCGAACAATAGTCAATTCGGCAGTAAGTCAGTACTCGGAATGGCGCGGCGTCGCTATCCGTCAACGTCCAAAGACCGTACATATCTACTTTTGACGAATCACGATATCATACGATAAAATATATATATATATATATAGCTAAACATTAGCCATAAATCTACTAGTAACAAATTTTCTAAAAATAAACCCGCCCGGCCGCCCTATGGTTAATCCACGGTCTTCGTGGTCATTTTGTTTTGTTTACCGATTGCTTATCGGGTTTATTATAAACACTCTTGCATGAAAAATAATTCGCAAAAACGTACAAAATACAGTACACCATAATATAGGTATAGTTTTTGTTGCCTGATAGTCGTACATGCCGCCAACGATAAACGATTAGTGGCGATTAGTATATCAGACTATCAGAGCGGTACAATTACCACGACTAGAACATTTAGAAAACAGAAAACATACATGCTTGAAAGTAATATCATATTAAGAATATTAGAGAAAATGAGACAACTTATAGCTACCTAGGAAAAAAAAAAAGGTCAAGGGAGGGGATCTATCCCCCACATCCCCCCCCCGTAAATACGCCACTGGTGCCAAGGCACACCCAGCACACCCCGTAGAGCCACCTATGCGTATACGTTTAACTATTTATTAACTAATTGATAAGACACAAACTTAAACTTATAAAATAATATAAATAACCAGTATACTTACTCAACCAGGATAAATCTGAAATATCTGTAAACTTATAATGATTTAGGAATATGTTCGAGTAAACCATATTGATGCCAGGCTGAGTGACCAACATAAAAGCAACTACACTCACTAATATCTACAAATAAAAAATATTCAATTATTTTGTAAGTTTTCAAGTTGGATAAAATTCAACAATAGTGTAGAGATTAGTAAGGTATAATTATATCAACCTGTGGATACAGATCTCTCCACGAAAGTCGTTGGTTTGTATCATTTTGGTCATCATAGCTTATGTTCGTATTTGTTTCTAACCTATAAATAAATATAATATTCTTAAATTATAATAAATCCATATTTTAATTAATCCGTATTTTTTTTTTCAAAAATATGGCAAGTTAAAAATTAAAATCATAATTAAATAGCTTAGTTTTTTTAGAATCATCATAACAATGATACTAAATTATAATCCAATATGAAAGTATCGTGACTAAACAAATCTACAGGGGCTACGGTTTCATATCCTTTTTTTACCAGTTTTCTTACAGACACAGTAGATATAGTATTTCACTACTCACTGCTGTAAGTTCAACTATTTTTAAACTTATTTTTTATTCGGGAGGACTGTGAGTATATTTGGGAGGCTAAATACTTCTCCAAGAAGCGACTATGGTCATGTTGCAAAATTTCGTATACAGAATTTTAATACACTAGTGCCCGCGTAAGGTGTTCATTTTACAACTTTCTTCACATAAAATATCAGTATTTAAAATAAAACAAATAATCATGTAGATCATCGGTTCTTAACCTTTGTGTAGTGGCGACCCAAGATATTTACCAAATTTTTCCTGCGACCTTTTTATAAATCATATTCAATGGCAGAATAAAAAATAACTATTTGGCACTCTTAATTGAATAACATTTTTTACTCATATTACTTGTATTCATAACAAGCCATAATATTAATTACATTATATTTAAAAATAAACATTTCTTTTAATAATATTGTATTGTTTTTTAAATAATTTTTAATTTAATGACTTCCTTGGTCTTGATGTTGCTTTACCAATGAATCAATTTAGAGTTCTTCTATGGAGTTAGTAAGTGAAATACGCATTGTGGGTTCGACATCAAGCTTGTTTCTTGATTTGGTTTTGATTGTAGTTAATATCTTTATTACAACATGTAAAAATATTAGTTAATGGCCTTTGCATACTCAAATTTAACTCATTTAATAACGAAAAAATATCTGATAGATACGCAACTTTTGTCAACCAAATTATATCTTAAAAATGGATGGATAACAGTGAATTTTTTCTTTTAAAAATACTTCTATTTCAGTTCTTAATTCAAAAAATCTCGTTAAAATTTTTCTCCATGATAACCAACTTACATGAGGTTTCATTTATTATTTATAAGACTTAAAAATAAAAATATAATACGAACGTTTTAAATTTTTATCCGATCCATTTAAAATTATTAGCGACCCAAAATTGGGTCAGGACCCTATGGTTAAGAACCGCTGATGTAGATGATTTAATAATCGAACTGGTATATTTAAACAATAAATCTTTTTTAAAACAATTTTTGAATAAAATTTAGGAATTGAACCACTCCTAATAAGTTGTAAATACTATATTGGAGACACCGAATCGCATGCCTTCTCTTAGAAGGGTCCGTCCGAATTGCATGCTTTGTCTTAGAGGGACCTGTCTGAATTGAATGCCACGTCTTAGAGGAGTATGCCGTGTACCCACAAGTTTATTTATCATGCATTTCTGTATACAACTTAAATTTTATATTGATTTAAGCTCTTTATAATATGGTTGTTACAACTGATTAGTTTTTAGATTGAAATATTTTTTATATCCAAGTTAACATTTTCATAAATCAATATTTACATTTTATTTTTATTATTGTATATTGTCGAAAACATTTCACAAAATTTTATAATATTATTATTTATTTGAAATGCCATGTAAAAATGTAAAATGCATTCACTTGATTACCCTAAACTACAATCGTTTTATTTAATGTTTAATATTCACAGTGCCACCTTCTCAAATTTGGTAAAATTTTTTCTCGGTTTAAAAATATTTCAATCTAGAAACTAATTGGTTTCTATTCATCCGTTTTTTTTTTAATAAATTAGAAATATCAAAAATAAAATTTAAGTTGTACACATAAGTACATGATAAATAAACTTGGGGGTGCATGGTATGCAATTCAGACAGACCCCTCTAAGACGTGCCATGCAATTCGGATGCACCGATGTTATTAATTAGGAGACCATCGATCAAAATCTATTCATTTTATATGTCTATTTGAAAATTATTTTACAGTACAAAATGTTCGCTTACCGTAATATTCCATTTGATAGAGTTTGATGATTTTTCCAGAAATATGAGTTCCTGGAAAGAAGTGGTGTAGTATATGTACAAGTGTTATTATTGAAAAACATTTCACACGATTGTGAATGAACACTAGTATGTTTAACAGAAGTCTGATTTACAAATTTTTATTTTAGTGTACTTTGATATTGATTTTTCTTATCTCATAAATTGAATCAAATACACCTCATAATGTTAGTATGTATTTTTAATACGTAAATTGTATACAAACAAAAGGAACACGTTATTAGGAAAAGGTTCTTCGTATTTTTGTTTAAAACTTTATCTATAAAAATAATTAATTATAATAATTATTATGCAATAGCATATAACCCTACCCAATTTTTAATGAAACTTCATTATTTTATGATGGATATATCAATGGTCTATATATATATATATATATAAAAGTAATATTAAAATACCAAGAAAAATTATATACGATAAAAAAAAGCATTTTTCTACACGTGTAATTTTATCTAAAATAAATACAACCCATAAGCTATCAAAAACTTATTTTACATAATTGTATACCTACTATATACCTTATCAAATTGAATATTTCAATACATTGATATTACCAAAAGAGTAAATACATCCAAATAACTTGCATTAAAAATATTAACTGGTAAAATATGAGAAAATTAAACACCAGCACAAAATAACTAGGAAACTTTAAGAAAACTCATTGACTCAGTACCGCAAAAACCGGGTGTGCAGAGTGTGCCACGCACACGGACCCCTATGCTTACATACATTTGGGGGGAGGCCTAATCTCAGCCTAAAATAAACTACACTTTACAAATACACAATTATTTAATAATATTATATTATTATTTTATAATAAAAAGAAACTTTTTTTAAAATACAAGTAAGGATGTTATAATATTTTAGAGTAATATAATATTTATTTGACAATCAGCCCATTGAGTATTTGAGCAGGCATACAACATATCTACCTAAACTACTTAAATTAATTTACTACATTAATATGTAGTGAAGTATAATATACAACAGTTGTAGGTATTTAATTTGATATATATATACATATATCATACACTAACTGATGTGAAACGTGTTTTAAAACCTAAAAAATTTGATACTTATAAATAAGACGTACAACAAAAATAAATCCTAGGAAGGAGTCTAATATAATTACCGCACACGGGCTTCCTATTTTGTAGTTGTGGTTCTGCATTGACTATTTGTACAATATTATGTTATAATTTTAAATACATAAATATATTAAATTTAAAATTATTTAAAAATCGTTAGTATTAGATGTCTCTATTTCACGTGTATCTAAGAACACGTACATACGTGGTTTTATAGAAACGGTGTTAAAGCTCGTGTAATTAAAGTACACGTGTACACGTTTATTTAGAGTCCATATACCCGTGTACCCGTGTATTATAGAATCCGTGTGCCCGTGTGAAGTGTTTTCAATGTCCGTCTACCTACCCTTAACACTTAAAATAATGTTTAATTTATATTTTATTATTAACACAATGAATTTGCGATAGTGTTGTTATCTTTATTATTTAATACATACCTTACTGTTATTATAGTTTCTTCAAGGCCAATGTGCTATAAATTAAAACATTTAAAACTAAAAATATCAACATTGAATTTTACTTGTATGTCACAATAATTGGTATATCTATTTTTAATTGAAAATTATTGGGTGATCACTAGGGCGCGGATTTTTATATAATAAAAAAGTCAAAATATGCAAATATTTATGTTCTTATTTTTGATAGAATATGTATTAAAAAACGTAAAATATTAAACGAAAAAATCGGGATTTTACTTTAATGTTTAATTAATGTTAATAAATTAATAATTATTCATTTAATTATCTTCATTGTTGTCTTCTTCGGAACAATTGGATAAGATGTACATTTAAAGATTTTTCTAATTTTAATGTACGGTGGTTAGATTTCAAAGTCAACTCGTAGCGGCTGAGGGTGTATTCAACGTCGATCGAAGTTAATGGGGTGTATTTCATACCACATATGTCGGATAGTGTTACTTCAATATAATTTAACATATTTTCATTTATATTAATAAGATTATATCTAATAATTTAAATTTTTTTGTAAACCAACGTATTACCCAGTACGTAGTTTAATTAATTTTTATTATAATTCCGGAATCTTCTTGAACTTAATTTTTTTAAATTTTTGCATTTTCCACCATCGAGACTTTCAATTATTATTAGATTCAATGTTTCTAATATTTTATTATTTTAACCAAGAAAAAAAAAATTTTGGAAATATTTACTAAATTATTTTGCAAGTTATTATTTTACATAATATCAGAAGTAATAGCGATTGTAGTATCTGAATCAAGATTTGAAATATCTTTTTTTCATTTAATTTCAATATAATAATTTTATATAGAATAAAAACTATTGAAATGGTATGAAAATGTGAAATATTTATAAAATATGTAAATACCTATTGATGAAATATTTAAAAATATGTTTTTTTTTTTGTTTTTTGTTTTTATTTGTTAAAAAAAATAATTACAATTTACATCAATTTGTACATTAAGTAATTTTTATAATACATATTTTACAATAACAAAAATTAACAGAATGGGAGAGCACTCAGTAGTACCACCCGACCAAAAAATATATATATATATATATCTATCTATTTACATCAAAATGTGTAAAATAAAAAAAGGTCTCATATTATACAGGGTATTAGGAAACGTGATTATTTTTAATTAGAATTGAGAAATTCACATTCAATAAACATATGTAATTACGTACATAAAAATCCGCACCCTAGTGATCACAAATGATATAAGATTACATTAACTCAATGAAATAATACCACAAAAATAGTATTCCACACGTCAGTATTATCTATAATATAAAAATGAATCGCAAAATGTGTTGGTAAGCGCATAACTCAACAACGCCTGGACCAATTTGGCCAAATCTTTTTTTCAAATGTTCGTAATTGCCAGGAGAAGGTTTTTACGAAAATTTTTTTTGGAAAAGTGCTATTGTTTAATAAATCATAGTTTAATTTAATAATTTTTGACCCGGTCAATAACTGCACAATTTAAAATGAATTATTAAATAAAACTATTAAAAAACTATTAAAAAACTATAAAAAAACTATTTAAAAACTATTAATTTTATTTTTGGTAGTAAATGACGGGTATTGCATAAATATTAAACAAAAAAGATCCCGCAACAGGTGTCAAAACAAATAAGAATGTTAGTTCGAAAAATTATTATGCATATCGGTTGATGATGATTAGACGCGACCAGGACAAAATTATTCTACGATATCATGAACTTCGTCAACAATTCATGGTCGAAATGTATGTAAAGATAGAGAGCGAACGATTATGATACATGCGATTCAATCAAAAAAAGCTGCGTGCAGATGATTCTCAAAACAATTATTAGATATTGGAGATGGGAAAGTTACTACAGATGAAACGGAATGTATAAAATTACCGACCGATTTCTGCACAATCATTTATTCGCAAGATGCTCTCATTGACTAGATATTTTCCAACGTACACAGACAATACACAAATCATGAGTGGCTGGCAGAAAGGGCAATTTCAGTAGTAAAAAATGTGGACGTCAACGAATTGAATCTCAAGATAAACATTTGTTACCAGGAGACATGGTGTCATACAAATCTATAGATATAGTTTGCTATGCTACTGAAGCTGTAAATTATCTAACAGAGTTTTTAAACTCATTGGACTTACCAGGCATGCCATCGCATAATTTACAATTGAAGGTTTGTTCTCCGGTTATTTTGCTTCATAATTTGACCTATCACGGTTGTATAGCGGCACGCTCGTGGTAAGTCGTTAAAAAATTAATGTAAAATGTTATCGAAGCCATAATTTTAAATGGCAAATTCCGAGGTGAAAATATATTATTACCATGAATCTCTATTATACCCATAGATGTGCCAATACAATTTAAACGCCTTAAATTTCCAATTAGATTGGCATTTGCAATGACTATCAATAAGTTTCAAAGCCAAACGATGTCTGTAGCTTAGATTTGAGCACATCATATTTTTCACACGGATAATTATACGTGGTGTGCTCTCGAACCATCCAGTTTGTGTTGGCGAAAGATGGGATAACAAAAAATATTGTACACACTGTTGCATTAAGAGATAGATATTGTTTTTTATTAATATTGTCGTAATTAGCGATATATATAATTTTAATGGATCGATTTTAATAAATTATTAAAAAAATAAATGTTTGATGTTTTTTCATTTTTATATTTCGTCACCATTCATAGCACTCCATATCTCTTCCTTACATCCTTATCCTTACCCACATTCTTACATGCCTATATTTAATTAGTTATTTTTTTTCTAGCAAAATATTCTCTAGAAATAATTTATATGACAAAACAACGTTTGTCGGGTCAGCTAGTATAGCAATATTATTCATTTTTTTTTTTAAAAAAATTTTTAGTTTATAAAAACTACTGGACCTTGAACACACAGATAATTTTAATACACGGGTAGATACAATTTTAATACACGTGTACACAAACTTCAAAAACACGTGTAATTAAATACACGGGTATTCATACATTTTACTACTTAAGGTACGGACTACGAGTACACGTGTATATCAATACACATACCAGACGACATCTTTTCGAATTTTCTTGAGTTTTTTAATTTTTTTCAGAAAACAAATATAATATTTATTTTTTTTTTTGTATATTTGTAGATCTTCGTAAACCCCACGAATATAAAAATTAGAAAAAAAAAAAGGCGATAAATAACTATGAAAAACGAGATTATACACTGATATCAAAAAAAAAAATTACAAAGATTTCTAAACTTAGAATACCATACTCAAAAATATTCCGACGTTATTTTTGATTCGAAAAAGTATGTGATGGAAATCAAAGCCGTTATTGATGATTTTGATGTGAGATTTAATGACTTCATGGCCTATAAAAAACTGAAGAAGAAGAAAATTTAATGACTTCAAGAAACTTGAAGATTTGATCCCATTTATCAGTTTTCTATTTAAAGAGGACTTAAATACCCAGATAACTACAAAAAAAAGCCACACAGTTGTTTCAAATTGACAAAGTATCTCTTGAGGACAAAATGGTAAATATGCGATACAACGTTTACTTAAAAGCTAGATGGTCAGAAAATAATTTTTGGCACTTGGTGAGCAAGGAAGAATTGTCCAATTTAAGACGATTTGCTGAATCAACATATTCCTGCTTTGGATCGACATATCTATGTGAATCAGCCTTTTCGTATTTACTTTAAACCAAAAGTAAGTCCCAATCACGTTTGACTGTTATGCATTCTGAAGATAGCTTGTGATTAGCTTTGTCATCATACACCCCAGAATTTGTGAAATTATCAAATCAAATGCAAGCACAAACATTTCATCGAATGATTAAATAAACATAGTAATAGTATTAGTAATAAAAGTAGTAGTATATTAAATGGTAATAAGTTAAAAGTAATAATTTGTAATCAAATATTTTAAAATATTTGAAACTGTGAATTTAAATTGTAAGGAAAAAGTAATAAAAAGTGTAATACGCATGTAAATATAATATATTTTTTTGTTTATTAACAACCATTTTATTTTATTTTTTTTGTTCGACTGCGACAACCTTAAAAAACTTGGAGGTCACCCCTGTTATATATTATAGTATAAATAATCTAACAAGTCGAAATATTTGATCGATTTTTGGTGGCAAAAATTAAAGAACATGTAGTAATGAGCACATTATAATATATTATACACAAATCGTATAGAACAATAATGGTACTCTGTAGTTCTACGTTAATTTAAACAAAGCAGTAAATAGGATAATCGTACGCACTCAATTTAATACGTATATAAACATATGTGTGTGAGTGAGTGATTAGTATCGGTATATATATGTGTGTATGTATTTTATTTTTGTAACATATAATCCTTATCACATATGATCCGGTTTCTCCAGATTTTTCGTAAAATAGGCTTCAATTTCGTGAAAACTCTTTCCCAGCGTCTCGGGTACGACGAAATGCACGTAGGCGGCCATTAGCAGGGATGTAACGCCAAAAAACAGATAAATACCGACCACGGATAGATTTTCCAGCACATGTGGGAACACCTTCAGCACCATGAACATGATCACATAAGTGTAGGACACTAGCAGACAGCCACCGACAGCCCTGACAGGAGTGGACAGCAGCTCACATATCATCGTCCACGGAAACACGAGTACGCCCAGCGAGCTGCTGAACACGAACAACATTACACCGCACAAGGGCAACGGGACCGTAGATGGGCCCGTGACGAAATCTTGGAAGACGATCACCAGTGCGGAGGACAGTACCATACCGGCGCACGAGAACATCATCAACGGTTTGCGGCCCACGTAGAACGATAGCGCGCACGTGAGCAGACCGGCCGCGAACCGTATGGCGCCCAACGCGGTCAATGAATCGATTTCGCTGATCGAATATTCGCGACCAGACAAAACCCGTTTCAAAACAGGCAGCGCGTAAGATATACACGGGTAGGCGCCGGTTAGCTGCTGCAGTAGTAGCAGAAAGGCCAGTACGACCATCGGTTTATACGCTGCGGCATTTGAACGCACGGACTCGATGAACGACGAGTTTCCGGTGGCCACTGCCACGCAGCACGAACTCGTGGACTTCAGCCGCTCCCATTCTCGTTCGAACACCTGCAGGAAACACGTTGTACAGTTACACTACAGATTTGACAGTTTTTCGGTACACCATATAATGTTGGCAATATCCACCGGTTTCGCTCAAATAAGGTACAATATCAAATAAAGTACTATAAGGTACTGAATTTATACTAAATAAATATTATATATATTAATATTATTATTATTGTGAGACAGGATGGTCTTAAAGGCCTAATACACCCCCCTCAAAAAAAAAAAAAAAAAAAATATAATAACTATTTACTATAACTTATTTTTATTATGCGTATTATTTTTGATATTAAATCAACATTTTTGAGTTTAACGGATTTCCAGATTATCAGCTACCGTTATTTATAGTGTATTAAAATTACCTAGTGGTAATTCTGATTGTTACAGATACATCACTATCGATTTTAACACCGATTCTTAAACCAATTCCGCAAAAAAAAGAATCACCAACATAAAAAATAATATTTTATTTTCATAAAATTTGAATAGTATGAATATTTATAAATAATTCATAAAATTATAACAAAAAAAAAAATAATAAATAAATAAATATGAAGATTTATTAAAAAAAGTGAGAGAACTAGATGGTAATTTCAAGTATATCATTTCATTCAATAAATTATTGACAAAATATTAACAACAAAAAAAATTAAAGGGACAAAAGTGTATCCAAGATGTGACCACTAGATGGAATAGCATATATTTAATGATTGATAGTGTATTTATGTAAAAATAGGATGTGCCTACAATATACTCGTTATATATTTATCTCTTCTTACTTATATATGATTTACTATATACATATATTTCATACATACTCTAACATTTATATATATATACATATATGTTATACGTATTTCTGTATATGTACAATCTACTTAGACGAAAGTACATATACATGTTATAAGGATTTAATTATATAATAAATTATCTTATCCTAGTTTGACTGCTGAGTTATTATATATTCAGTGAAGGAAGATAAAAGAACTAGATTTAATATTGATTTATTAATAATTTAATATTAATTAAAAATAACACAAATAATATATTAGGAATAATTAAAACAATATGTTTATTATTCAATGCATACAAAATATTACATGTATTATATACTCGTATTATAACTAGAGCTCAGATTTGTATGTATTTACATAATTATTGTGGTTAGTCGTATGATATGCTAAGTTAGCACAACATTTGTTTTATTTTAAACAATCAAATTTTTAGAGTATATTTTTGCATATTTCGAAATTTACCCATGTATTTTTATTTTAATGACATATTTTACGTTTTTAATTGCATATTTTATCTTTTAGCGCATATTTTAACGTTTTTTATTTGATATTTTGGAAATATTCATAGGTATTGGGATAAATCTGTTTTTGAAAAAGTAGAAAAGTATAATAAAAAAATTAAGACATAAATTATGAGTTAATTCAAACCGAATCGCCAAATGAAATGATATATTTTTTAAATACGCACCTATTACTTTTGTAGATATGGAAAGATAATTTTCAAGATAAAAAAATTTGTTGGCTGACAAACTAAAAACAAAATTAAAAATGATAGATTAAAAATAAAATTTATCAGTTAGATATCATTCAAATCCATAAAAAATATAGAAAATCGAGACAAGTGGAGATTAAGGAAGAGGGTAGCCTATCTCAAATAATTGGGAGAAAGGCGAAGAAAAAAATGATATTATTCAAGTCAATTTAGTTCAGTGGACTCTGTACTCGTCTTTAGTACAGCTGATTTTATTTGTTCTAAAAGTAAAAATACAATACATTCTGACAAAGTGAGACATTTATTATTTTTCTCAAAAAATATTAAATATATATAATAAAATCTAATTTTTTTTAAATTTTATATTTATTATATCTATTTTAATTTATAATTAACAATTTTTTTTTGTTTATCCTTATTATAAGTTATTATTATTTCAATTAATTTGCACTTCAATTCGTTTAAATTATTTCACATTTTATTTAATGTTTTTGATTTTTTTTTTGACAATTTTTAATTAGTTAAAACTTAAAAAGAACAATGTTATTTTTTTAAACTACGAGAGCTATTCAGAAACTAGGGAACGTTTTGTAATAAAACAAAAACTAGGTACAGGAAAAATATTTTATTATATACATCTGAAAGAGTGACTAAAATGCTACTATTCTACATAGTCACCAAACAAATTAAGGCACTTATCGTAGCGGTGGACAAGCTTCGAAATTCCTTCGTCATAGAAATCCGCCGCCTGCGATCTCAGCCACTGAGTGACGCACGCCCGGAGCTCGTCGTCGTCATCAAAACGCTGTGTCGCTAGCCAGTTCTTCATCTTCGGGAACAAGTGAAAATCACTCGGTGCTAGGTCGGAACTGTAGGGTGGATGTGGGAAAATCTCCCATTTGAATGAGTCAAGAAGTTCTGCAGTTCGATTTGCCGTGTGAGGTCGGGCATTGTCATGAAAAAACAAAATTTTTGACGATAACTTTCCTCGGCGCTTGTTTTGCACTGCTCTTCTATTCTTGCGCAATGTTTGGCAGTACCGATCAGACCCTACAGTCCCGACCTAGCACCGAGTGATTTTCACTTGTTCCCGAAGATAAAGAACTGGCTAGCGACACAGCGTTTTGATGACGACGAGCTCCGGGCGTGCGTCACTCAGTGGCTGAGATCGCAGGCGGCGGATTTCTATGACGAAGGAATTTCGAAGCTTGTCCACCGCTACGATAAGTGCCTTAATTTGTTTGGTGACTATGTAGAAAAGTAGCATTTTAGTCACTCTTTCAGATGTATATAATAAAATATTTTTCCTGTACCTAGTTTTTATTTTATTACAAAACGTTCCCTAGTTTCTGAAAATAGCCCTCGTATTTCCGACTAAAAGAACTGTAAAAAGATTGACAAGTATACAATTTTTTAGTTATTAATTTGTTAATTTTTTATTTATTCTTTAAATACTTCTTTAATATTATGTCTATATCATAATTATTTATTTGAAAAAAAAAATTGCTAAGGTACTTAAAAATATAAACTAATCATGGGTGTAGCGAGGGTGGGTCAGGGGGGGGCACTTGCCCACCCCTGCGCCTCAAACTGAATTATATTTGTTTATACCAAACGCGTAAGTTTTACATTAAAATCAAAAATTAAATAAGATAGAAATAAGATAGAATTTTAGAAAATTCTAAAAATAATTTAGTGGGACCGAGTGATATCTACACGTGTAATCGTTTTGACGTTTTATGTGTAATCCAATGGTCTATCTGTAGATTATTTGAATTACGAGTTTAACACTAATCATTTTATGTTTTTGCCCCTCTCTGATTCAAATTTTAGCTACGCCCATGAAACTAATGCTTATATTAAGTAGGATCGGTTTTATCAGTTATAGATTTGTGGTATCAAATAAATTTTAGTATCGATTCATGATTTTTGCCGAAAAGTTTATTTTTAATTTATATCAATTATCGGTTTTATATTGGTTGGATACATCGGAATATCGATTATCAGTAAAAAATAGTATCGGCCCATCCTTAATTTCAATACTTCAGTATAAAATTATTTTCAGTGTGCCGTTTCATAGCAGTAATGATTTTAATACCGAATACCGGTATGATTTTAAAACCGTCAACTCTAGATTAAACAAATACCGAGGTTTCCTGGGGGTTTTTCATTTAAAAAATCTTAAGATATTTAAATCATACTAAAAAAATCATAATAAATAATCAATACCCATACCAAACAATCCAAAAATATATAGTTATGTCATGGTTTTATTTATTTTTATTTAACTAAAACGATGTGATACAATTTGTGAATATTGTAAGACGTCTATTACTCCATTAGTGTACCTATTTATAGCATCCTGTAAAAGGGTCTTTTTTTTTTTTTTTATTTCGAAATTCAATAAGAACTTTACTAAAAATATGTACATTTAGTTAACTATTATAAAATTAATTTCTAAGATGACTATGAAAGGATTCACAGGCATTTGTAGTTCGATTTAAATTTGCACTTTGATCAGCCCACAAATAAGGAGGAAACGCTTCGTCATTGCGTATGTAATTGTCAATAAGGTAATGTAAGAACTTAATAACTCTGGGGTTAGATGGTATGATTGCTTCTAAAGTAAATGCAAATACATAGGAAACATTTTCGGGAGATAAAAACAATAATCCATATATATATCCATATATATCCACCTTAAAATGAATCGATCTAACCATAACAATAATTTTAATTATTTCTACATACATCATCGCAATAGATGTCAACGTATTTAATGTGATAAGGCACGTGGCAGTGTGAGCACTGAGCAGGTAAACAAAAAAAAAAAAACTGGCGGAGTTTACAATGTCCTTGCACTGGCATCATTTAAGTTACCATATTATATTAATGGTATACATTACATACTTGTTTATTTCGCGGGTAAAGTTGCTGCATCGCTGATTTAGCTTCGTCAACGTGCTCAGGACTTTTAAACTTCAGTATCCAAATCGGGCTTTCTGGCATGTTGATGATTATCAGTACTATGTTAACAACCGTAAGCCCAATGAACGTGTAATTTATGATGTTCCACTCTAACTGCACAATTGAAGTGGAGAGTAGTATCCCACCAGAGAAGAAAACACTATTCAACGACAACAAGAGCTGTTTGTAAGATGAGTGACTAATTTCTGACACGTATATCATGCAGACTGTAGTCATTCCTATAATATTCAAATGTGTTTATTTATATATACATGTATATATATTCGTCAACAATACTGATCATTTTATTTACTATACCTCCACCGATCCCAGCAAGTATTCTGAATGCAAAAAACCAGTAGATTTCGTCAGAAGTCATAAATGTGGCTACTGTCCATGATGAGAGTAATATCAAACAGGTTATGATACAAGCCTTTTTTCGGCCAATTCGATCCATTAATTGACCGATTATTAGCGCTCCGATGGGTATGCATAAAGCTACAACACTTGCTTACATAGAACAACATTTTAATTTTACACCAATTAATTGTAGAACATTTAAAAAAATATTATAGTGTATACGTTCATAATAACTCAAGTTTGATGAAAAGTAAAAAAAATGTTAAAATATAAGTTGTTAAAATTAATTTATATTATTATTCGAATGTAAATCAAAGAAACAAACATTTTATTAAATTTTTGCCATTTTAAATATATTTAAAAACTTTTAATATTTTGTTTCTTAATTATTGTAGCTTAAACTTTCTACGTATTATAAAGAATCCATCTTCCAATTAAAATTACGAAATATTCATGTTTAAACCATAGAAAGTTTTAAATTATTTATCGATAAATTAAACTAAAAAGACCTAGTTAAAATAATTAAAGGCATTAGGTATGACTCTTTTGTATATATAAATCAGATCATATTTTCGAAGAAACTATAATTTTGTTGTATTTACAATTTTAAATACTATATTGACTTAAGAATTTAAGAAGCTATTATAGTTGATAATAATATGGAGAAATCGTAATCCTCAAATCATTAAATTAAATACAATTAAATCCTTAAATAGATCTCCATTACATTGAGAAAATAATAATTTTGTGTTTACAAATAATTTAAATATAATAAAATTCAATTACATTTAAATTATATGAAATTTAGTATTATTGTAACTAGACGATTTAAATAAGTAGAAGTAGATTCTGAACAGAGTGATGGAATCTATTAATTTTACAATGATGTGTGTTATATTTATTTTTTATTTTTGTGTCTGTCATCACATTTTGGGGCAGTAAAAATGCTTCGATTTTCTTAAATAGCAACTTTTCTGAAGTTGTTATTTAAGAAGACAAGTCAAAAGTCAAACTTTTTTAATAATTTTTAAAAGCATCGAAAAAACCATAAAAAAATTACGAAAAGACGGAAATTTTTACGCAAAACCACATTTTGGTAAACACATTTTTTTTAAAATGTACAAACTCAAAAATGAAAAACCGCATACACTTGAAAATTTCACCAAATATTTAAATTAGCGTCTTCTATACATGGTAATGTTTTCGAATTATTTTGAATTTTTTTAACTTATTAATAGACAATTTAAATTTCCAATTTTTCTAAGTTTTTTTTTTTAAATCTATAAAAAAATTTGGCTGTCCAAAAACTCTTGAAAATTTAATACAAAGTTCATTATAAGTCATACTTACTGAAACTGAAAAAAATTGGAAATCATTTTTTTATAAGCGTATAAAGTTCAAATTTATATAAAATATGTCAAAATTACATTAATTTGCAAGTTATTTTGTAGATAAAAATTCATAAAATGTATTCTGTTTACACTTAAGGTTCAAAATTTTAACACTATATTATCCATAAGTTATTCTTCAAAAAACTATAAAAACATTTTTACCGGACTTTAAGAAAAAAATGTTATGATCGTTTGAAATTTAATTCTTACAAAATTGCATAAAATAACGATTTATCCTCAAACGATTTTAAATATTTGTTATTATTCAAAAAGTGAAAGTCGCAAAAACTCGAAAATTATACTAGTTATTAAGTTTGGCATTTTCTTTAAGCGTATTTTTTTCAAAATATTATACTGATTTTTAAGCAACTTATAGGCATTTGAAATATTCGATATTTCATAATAAAATAATAAGAGCTGTTTTGACTCATTTTTTGTTGATCAAATATAATTATATAGGATATTTATATAGACATTTTATCCAAATAGAAAATTTTTGGAAGACTGCTTTCTATATATAAGATTATTATAATATAATAATATTTTTTCTATACATATCTAACAAATCATCTTCATTCAGAATCGTTATTCGTATACAATGATATCTATCATAGCATTCAAATTTAACAAATCCATTATAAAGACCTATCCTATAAACAAGGTGTACTCCACTTCCTACTGTACAGCAAAGCGAAGCCCATCCGATTCTTTTTTTATTTTGTTCTTTTTTTATATTTCTATATCTTCTCAAAAAATGCTTAACTCTCAATTCCTACACAATAATCACGTTAATTCATCATCATATTTAATAGTTATATTGACTTATTTTCAACCATAAAACTTGTATAATTGATTAATTAAGATCTAATTTCATTATAGACTCTATATAAATTATTAATTAAAAATATTAGGTATTTTTGTTGACAATACAATATAATTGGTTTTATACCAAATTATAATCTAAATAACAAGTTTACTGTCACACTAATATGATATATTTTTTCTGATGATATTTTAATTATATATTATTAAGTAATAAATTACCTTAATTTATTACTTATTTATTATTATATTTTTTATAATTACTTATTTATTACTTATTATTTATTAATTAATACCTTAATTTAAAATGTTTTAAGAAAAAATTAAACTATACAATATAATTTATCATAATTTAATACAATTTTTAAAAAATAGTAAAATACATAAAAATCTAAAATTAAAGTTTACCTACATTTAGTAATTAATGAAATAATTTGTTAGATATTTTTAATAAAATTTTATTAAATTCTAATTACTTATCCATGAGAATTGTCCATTCTTGAATGATGTCATATGATGAAATAAATTATTCGAATAGGCTAAATGTAATCCCGGTTGAATAACCATTAATAAAGAAGTACAACTTGCCAATACCTGAAAATATCATTTAAATTATTGAAGTCAACGGTAATTCGAACTTATTAAAAAAACAGTTTAACAACTTGAGGATATAAATCTCCCCATGAAAGACTAGAATCTGAATATTTTCCATTTTCAAAAAACATGTTCTTATTTTCAGCCGACCTATGAAAAAGAAAAGTTAAGTATAGTTAAAATTAATTTTAATAGTATTCTAAAATATTTAACTAGATGTATCATAGTTATAACATAAAAATACCTTTAATACACTACACTTTTGTTAATAGCAGCTTAATTTCTTTGAAAAATGTAATATAAAATATAATAAATAGCAATAAAAAAATAGTTTTATTATATAAGGTTTATGAAACCTCGACGACAAATATTACTAGTTACGTAATAATAATTGTGATGATTTTGTTTCATAATCTAATAACACCAATTATACTCATTAATCGTTTTATCCCAAAGACATTGCCTTAATTCCACTAACTCGATCAAAGTCGGCATGCCGTAGAGAAAGTAACTAATTTTTAAAAATTTACTTAATATTGAATACGTTGATGCATGCCATGAATTTAAACTACATTTTATTTCATTATTCCGATAATATCGGCGAGTGTGCAAACGTACTATTTATTTTTAATAATCATTAAAACCGGACCGACAAATTATCGTCCGATTTTGGTCGTTGTCCGACATGCACAACGATAACTGTGAAATAAATCAGACATTTTATCGGATCGAAACTAGTGTCTTCTTCTTGTTGTATCGATCTTCATATTCCCTTCGTTTCCCAATAAGCCGCAACTTGTATTGCTTTGTCTGAAATTTTATGCGTCAAAAAATCTTCCTTTCTACACTTATTTGATAATTGTGGGCATACAAATGGTCCGCATCCTGCTCCCCACCACATTCGCATTTCCCATCATCTTTCAATCCCCATTTTTCCATATTACTCGCTGTCCTTCCAGTTTCGGTTCGTAATCTATTTAGTGTCTTCCATACCAACCATGGTAGATGACTTCCGGTTGGTAGGCTTTCCTTCGGATCCTTCCATAGCAGTGAGTTATGCTCTTTTATTGCCTCCTTCCATAAGTCTATTCTTGTTGTTTCAGGTGTTTGTGATAGGCTAATTGTTGTCTTCAAAAAATTTTTCCTTGATTTGAGCCGGCTCCCCGTGGTTTTACCTCCATATAAAGGATGTCTTAAGTCTAATTCTTGTTTTGTTTTCTCTAACCTTGCTGCCACCTCTCGCCTTATATTAGGGGGTGCTATACCGCATAGTACTTGTACTTTCTGAACTGGTGTTGGTCTCAGGCACCCAGTAATTAATCTGTTAGTTACATTTAGAGCCACATCTATCTTTTTGGCATGTGCTGAGTTTCTCCATGCAGCACAAGCGTATTTACCCGTCGAGTAACATAATGATAAGGCTGTCATTCTCAAGACATGAGGATCTGCGTCCCATTGAGAGCCAACCAGTTTTTGAAGCAAGCAATTTCTTGTTCCTATTTTCTTTTTTGTGTTTTCACAGTGACTTCTATATGTCAGGGCGCGGTCAAGTTTAATGCCTAAGTATATTGGTTCTTCGCAGTGCTCTAATTCTGTGTCTTGCCAATTCATTCTCAGTTTCCTTTTGGCGTCTCTGTTTCGTAAATGGAAAGCGGTAATTTGTGTTTTTGCTGGATTCGGCTTGAGATAATTATCATTATAATAAGCAATAATAAAACTTCCACTTCTTCGAATATTTTGGCCTGGGTTGTAATAGCGAGGTCATCAGCGTATATAAAGTGCTTCGTTTGGGCCCTAATTGGTTGATCATTAGTATAAATATTAAATAAAATTGGTGATAGAACACTTCCTTTGGGTAATCCATTATTTTGTCTTCTTCATCTGCTCTTTTTGGCCTGCAATGATACAAAAAACCGTTTCTTAGTAAATTCCTTAGTAAAAGACTAATATTTTTTGTAAATTTCGCATCTTCAGTTAGCTTATGTATTTTCTTTAGTAGTAATCTATGATTAACCGTATCGTATGCAGCGCTGAGGTTGATAAAAGCTGTACCTGTTATTACATTATTCTCATAGCCTTTCTCTATTTCTTCAACAAGGTTAAGTATTAGCCCTGTGCATGACTTACCAGCCCTAAATCCAGCTTGTTGCTTAATAAGCTTCCCGTCTATCTTGTCTTTTATTCTATTCAGTACCATTCTCTCAAACATTTTATATGTATGACATAATAGTGACACGGGTCTAAAGTTACTTGCATCTGTAGGGGCTTTTCCAGGCTTCAATAATGCCACAACATGTGATTTGAGCCATTCTATTGGAATACTATCGGTTTTGATACAGCTATTGAACATGTTTAGTAGCCATTCTTTGGCTTTGGGGCCTAGTTGCTTGATCTGTTCTGTCATGATTTCGTCTATGCCCGCTGCTTTCCTATTCTTCATTACTCCGATGGCCATATTTAGCTCATCCATTTCGAATGGTTTGTTGAAGTCACTTGTATTATTCTTCATATCTATTTTAAATTTAAGCTTAGTTTTCTTCCCTTTTGTTTTCGTTTCGCCATTCATTAATAATTTGTGTGCAATTTGGTCTGGTGTTATGTTTATATGCTCTTTCGGTTGTTGTTTTTCATTGTTCATGCTTTTTATTAGTTTCCAGGCTTTGCTGCTGTTTTTGACCATATCTAGATCCTTAATTAATGTCAACTATTCTTTTTTACGTTCTTCGGCTATACGCTTCAAAATACGTTCTCCAGCTTCAATTGTTAGTTCCGAAAAGAGATCTTCCTCATACCTTTCGTAGTAGGTTTCTAAGTCCTTTATGGTGTCTTGCCGTAGTCCCTTGATGTAATTGATATGGCAACCCCTTGGTATATATTTCCTTGAGACCTTCTTTAGGCTATCAACAATTTTGCAGTAATTAGTAGGTGTTGGTTGTAGCGTTTGTATTTCAGTATCCATATATTTCGTGACTTCTGCCCATTTAGCCTTTTTAAAGTTGAATCGTCCCCTAAAGGGTACCATTCGCGGTATTATGACTGCATTTATCTGGCATTGGATCGGTCGATGTTGAGTTTTTGGGATAGCTTTCATTATTGATTTAATGCTCATATTTCTTATATTATGGCTCACGAAGATGTTGTCGGGGTTATATCCTTTCCGCCATCTACCGCTGTTAAATGATGGTGGGAGTTTAGCACCATGTATTAAACTCATATTGTCCCTTTCTGCCCAATCTTCGACTTTTTCACCATCTTCATTGTTCTCTGTGTATCCCCACATCACATTATGTCTATTAAAATCTCCTATTACGATTTTTGTATTTCTTTCCCTGTAGTTCTCAGGTTTTTCAAATTCAAATGATACATTAGGGGGCTTATATATTGATGTTATGGTGCATTGTTTTATGTCTATTGTCATAATTTCTATATTGTTTTTGTCTGTGATCCCTGTCGATATTATATCCAAATCAGGTTTAGTAAATATAGCACTTCCGTATTTACTGTGTGGCCTTTCTACCACTAGTCTCATCCCGTTTATTTTTGGTCTTCTGTGGTTTGTATCTCGGTGCGTCTCTTGTAGACACAGCACCTCACATCCCGATGTTTTACATAACTCTGCTAAAATATTTTCTTTCTCTGGTGTAAGACCTTCGATATTTATAGATATCATCGTCATGGTTGACCCTGAAAAGGGCCTTTTGGGTTTAAGACCGTGGTTGGTAGGATTGGTTGATGAGCGCTGCATTATTGTCGCATATACCAGATATATCTCATAAAAATGCAATATCGTCGTTCCAGGAACACCGCGTGGAGGTTCCTACCATGTCCCCGGAACTAGTGTGCAAACGATTGATTTAAAATAACGCTTTATCGGTGTATCCGACAAAATCACCGATAATATTGTCCGATATTATCAGACTGTGTGCAAACGGCCTAAATGTTATAGACGCTATGATAACTACAAAACTCCTATTTTTTTTAACATGGTGTTTTCATTTAAGATTGGTTAATAGTGACAAATGATATGAGATTAATATAATATAATTGCGTAATACACAATAAAAAAAAATTAAAAATCACTTTATAAATGACACAAAATTAAAGACACTCGACAAGAAATTATTATAAAATTGAACCATATTCATCTTGATCTTGATAGCAATAAGATACCATTATACATACTCAAATTTTCAAAGTTAAATTATCTACTTTTTAGTCGTAACTAGGGCTGACCGTAATGAAAATAATTTTTGGTATTATGGTTTTAATTTCAATGCCGGTTTGTAACGGTACACCGAAAAAACCGAAATGATTCATTTAAAAAACGAAATTATTTGATATACTGAAAAATAGTAATAATTCGGAGTACTAAAGAAACAAAACAATAAATAAAATCTACTAAGTACCAATATATTAAACTATAATATCTTTTCACTAATAAACAACTAGTTTCACGAGTAACTAGTAAAACAAATGGATTTTTTTTAACTCTCCTTACCTATAGATCGGTGCTTTCCAAACTTTTTTGACTCACGGCGCCCTTTTTGATCTAATATTTTTTCAGGGAACCCCTCCTCAAGTCATAGCAAGACAAATCATAAGAAAAATTTTAGACCCCATAGTATTTCATGACGGCGCGGCGCAAGGGCGTATTTGAGTTGAGCCCATGGAGAGAGCGAAACTAATTTTTTTTCAATACAAACTTAAAAATAATTTACAGTTCATTACAGGGGCGTACCCAAGGGGGGATTTTCGGGTCCGGACCCCCCATTGAAATTTTTACATACTCAATGGTTTAAAAGTGTATTTTAATTTCCCATTATTTTCAAAATACAAAGTTTATAGATTACATAATATACCTATAATGTATAAACCATGTTTAAATTATACTGCTTTTTTAATATTATTTATTATTGTTAATTAAATATTGTATTTTTTTTATGACATTTTACTACCAAATAAAAATTGATTTCAAATTATAGTACTTACCTATTATAGAAAACATTTGTGCAGAATATGTGTGATGTATGTATAACTATTGTGACTATTACTATAGTTATTAACAATAATCTGTCGATATTGAATTAAACTATAATTATAATTAGAGAACAGATAAAATAAAAATGTTGGACCCCCACCCTAAAAAAACA